TTCATTTCGTGAATGATGTGAATAAATTATTAAGCAAATAAACTTTCTCTATAATCATTTGAATCCAATTAGGAAGATCACATCATTGGTTATTTGCATTTCATAATAATAATAATAATAATAATTGTTATAACTTGTGGCTTTGTGTCCTATTGATGTTTAACGTAATGATACCGCCAATTAGAGAACAGTGAATTATCGACCGAACCAATGACAAATAAAACCCGTACGAGCATTCTAGAGACTTTATCAGTCCTGATTCCTGCTTAGCCCTGCCTGTTAAGTCCAGAACACCAATCTTAGCCTCTGCAATATGAATCATGTAATTCAAACATACTGGGTTTATATACAAACCAAACAGACCACATCGTATCATAAAATATGAAACAACATTTGTACAAGATTTAACCAAAAGTGGTTGTGAATGTGGGAGATTGTAATTAATAGACCAGGCATAACTCAGGAATGGTAAATCGTATAATAATAGTTCATAAGTCAAAATAAAGCTTATAATAAGGGAAACACGAATATGAATAGTTTAGTCACTTAAAAATTATACAATAAAAATATATGTGTTGTATTTGTTCACAAGTAGTTCTCAAAAGTTACTATTCATTCGGGATAAAACAATAATAATAGTAATGCAAACAGTATCCAATCGATTGAACAACATTTCCTTTAATGTTGTTTGGTAACAAAATAAAATGATATCCTAAGAATCAAAATGATAAATCGTTTGAAGTAGACCGAAGTGATTTATTCGGATACCATTCTCACGAGTTTCTAACCAATAAATATAGTTAATCCATAAGTCATATACATACACAAGCCATTTGAATATTTGATGTACTACATCTTTACATGCCTCAAAACGATATCTTATATGGATTAGGATTTCATGGTGTTTCGATCAAAATGTCATTATTATTCAATTATTACTCTTAAACGTCCTTATGCCCATCAATCCTCATGGAGGAGGATAGGCCACCCACCAGCGTTCTCCATCCAACTCTGTTCTGGGCAATCCTTTCAAGTTGTTTTCCAGTTGCTATACATTCTTTTATTTTCTGCCCCCAATACCCGGCGTAACGTGTTCCTTGGTCTTCCTCTTTTCCTCTCGTTCACGGGATTCCAAGTTAGGACAATTTAATGATTTCCGTATCAATGTGTATCCATTTCCATCGTCTTTTCCTAATTTACTCTTCTGATGAAATTTGGTCTATTCTCTCCTACAGTAGGTTGTGGCCGTATCCAGTCAACAGATACTGAGAATCTTGCATAGACAAATGTTTATAAATACATATACGTTTTTGGTGATAGTTATGGCAGTTCTCGCCATTTCGCTTCCGTACAGTAGAATTGTTTTGACGTTCGTATTGAAGATTCTGACTTTGATGTTGACTGGCAGTTGTTTTGGGATCTAGTTGTTGTTCATCTGTAGGAATGCTGTCCTTACTTTGTTAATACTCATCTTTCCATCTGCATCCGATCCTCCTTATTCATCGATGATGCTTCACAAGTACTTGAAGGATTCCACATCTTCCAGAGTTTCGCCATCAAGTATTATTGGATTGTTGTCTTCGTGTCGTAATTGAGGATGCTGCTTTTTCCCTTGTGTATGTTGAGGCCTACTGATGCAGAGGCTACTGCTACACTTGCTGTCTTCGACTGCATATGTTAGTGTGTACGCGATAGAATTGCTAGGTCATTTGTGAAGTTCAAATCGTTTAATTGCACGAAAACTGCCAATTGTATTCCGTGCTTCTCGTCTGATGAGGAGGTCTTCATAATTCAGCCGACTGTCAAAAGAAAGAGGAAGAGGGAAAATAAGCAGCCTTTTCCGACTCCGATCCTTATTAAGAACGCATGTGTGTGCGATTCTCCATGTACGACTTTGCAGTAAAGTCCATCGTAATAATTCTATATGATGGTGATAACCTTGTCAGGTTTACCGTAATGTCGAAGATGGTTTCATAAAGTTCTTCTATCGACTCTATCAAATGCCTTCTTATAGTCAATGAGGTTAATGTATAGCGATGAGCTACATCTAACTGACTGTTATAAATGATTCACAGTGTCGTAATTTGTTTAGTACACGATCGATCCTGACAAAAGCCAGGCTAATGACTTCGGAGTTGAGTGTCTGCTGAACTTTTCATATGGTTTACAAACAGTCTGTTGGAAACTTTCCCTGGTAATGTAATATTGCGATACTTTTGACATTCTCACAGTACGATCTCCACTCCTTGATATATTGATGAGGTAACCATCTTTCCAGTCAGTCGGCACCTTTTCCTCCTACTACATCTTTCTGAATAGAATAGGGAGTATCTTTGCGCCAGCCTCTATATCTGACTTCTATCCTTGAGCTGATGTGGTAATTCTTTATATCTAATAGTGATGCAGACCTCTTCCGTTATTGTTTGTGCGACAACTTTAGGAAGGTCTGTTGGTACTTCTTCAGTGTCCGGTGGGTTCAATGTGGTGGATCTACTTAAGAGCTCTCCAGAATGCTCTAGCCACTTGTTCCTGACTCTTCTCTCTAATATTCTGTATTTCCCTGCTAGTTTTCTCGTTGTATCATAACGTTGTATCATTCAGTTCTCTTATAGGTTTCCCGCTGTCACAGCTAGGTCTTCCACGTATTTCCGCTTGCTGGCTATAATGCTCTTCTTCACTTGTTTGTTTGCTTCTGTGTATTCAGCTTGTACCTTGACTTTCGCTGCCCTTATTCGGCTGTTATTAGTTGCTGTCTCATTGTTTTTCCTTTCTTGAATTTTGTCTAGGGTTTCGATAGAGATCCATGCTTCTTGCTTTCTAGAACCTCCTGACACGTTGAAGTCAGTGCTTGTTAGATTCTTTTCCAGATGTCCTCCATCGTACTTTCCTCTTCTTTGAGTAGATCTTGTAATGCTTGGAAACGGTTGTTGAGAGTTATCTTGAATTCGTTGAGTTTGTCAGTATTTCAAAGGAAAGCTATATTAAACCATTGTAATGCTTTTTCTACGTATGTCCAGTGTTTCTCCAGTTCCATCTTGACCACAATCAGAGGGTGGTCCGAAGCTATGTCAACTCTCTTTGATCTCGCGTCTTCCATTGATCTTCTGAGTTTTTTGTTGACGCTGAGGTGATAGATCTGGTTCTATGTAGTGTGGTCCAGTATGACCCATGTAGATTTGGTTATGCGTTTGTGGGGAAATATAGTGCCGCTTATAATGACTTTGCTGAAGACACGTAATTCTGAAATCTGTCATCATTTTAACTTCTTTCTCTCAGTCCATATCGTCCCATGATGTCTTTATATCCGGTGTTGTCCACCCTACCTTCGGCGTTAGGTTCACCTATCAGGATGGTCACATCCTTTACTGAACACTTCACTATGATCAGTTGCAGCCTCTAGTGAAGCTGATTTTTATAGTCGTCGTTACTATGATTGGTGGGTGTATAACATTGGATAACACTCATTGTGATTCCCTCCTTCTTTGTTTTGGGTGATGTTTTGATAATCCTGGATCCTTGAGGTTCCCATCCCATAAGTGCATTACGTGTTTCTTTGGACAGCATCAAAGCAACTCCCTGAGTGTGGGAAGCACTTTCTTCTCCATGAGCCGAGTTTGACATATTCTGAGAACCACTAGGTTGTATCTCTTCATTTCCGCACCTATTTAAATAAGACTCTTAGTCTCTCAAATTGTCTGGACGTCCAATTTAACTATATAAATCGTTGCTCTGGTTGTTAGAAGGAGCGTCAGCCTCGTAACTTCCAAAGAATCTCGGCTTTCACCATGAAGAGTCATAATTTTTCTAAATAAAGATCCTTCAACTCGGAGGGCAGAATTTAAGTGGCTTTAATTGTTTTTCCTGGTCAGTATTTTCATAGCAAACTTGTTGATGATCTCACATCTAACCCTTCTCCTTTATTCAGGTTTGATACCAGCAGTAGTACCAGAAGTGGTACTGATTGAGTTAATACACTTATAATGTTTGGTAAATATAAATTATGTGTGTTCTTGTTGAGATAAGAGGCAAACGGTTCTCCTATTATCTTCGAAATGGTGACATTTTGTATAAGATTTTGTTCAGGTTATTTTCTACTTTGCTGGGTTAGCTGAACAATGTGAAATAACCAAGTTAAAAAATGTTCATAGTATTCCTGAAAATTTGTTACTATACAAGTCTGTCTAAACCTTTATTGATTTGATAATGCATTTATTCAAAATTATTGTCCATTAATTTGAAGAATGTAGAAGGACGTATCATGTTCGGGTAGAAGATTTCGAAACTTAATTGGGAGACTGAAAAATATTCTTTTTTTCCCTAGAATTATACTGACACTGTTTTGGACGGTCGATGTTAACTTTGAACCAACACTAATAATATATTAATCTATAAATCATAGATTTGATTATCAACTCCGCCTGGAGTCGCTATATGTTTATTCAGCTAAAATATTACATCCGAAGAATATTTATTAATAATTAATAACTTTTACTCAATATACTCTTGAGCTAATTAATAATAATAATAATAAGGATTAAATCTGCTGTTTGTCAGTTATATCATAAAATCCAATAGTGAAGTATTTAGATCTGTTTCTACTCTTTGAATAATAAGATGAACCTATAAGTTGTTTAAGCTACAACTAACGTTTTTAAAGTAATTACTGGTCAATAATTATTATCAGAAAGGGGCTTTGTGGATATTATAGTCAAGTGAAGCTAGCCCACCATGATCTAACCGAGTCTTGACTAACCTCCTGTAGCATGTGATTACAATTGATTGATCACTATATAATGATCAATATCAGGTGTATCATGTCCTCTTTATTACTGTCCAGTGCTATCTGGTCCATATTTATTCAGTATGATTATAATCTATTGCATTAACATTGCTACAACTTCCAATTTTCTGTCCTTCGTTTTTACATGTTACAAAATCAATTTTAAAAAAATAGTGATTTATTGTCTATACCAAACATCATGACTTGATAATCTATCTGTCTACAACAACAGATTAAGAACATTTAATTTATAAAACACATAGATGTAACACAAGTTAAAACTTGATTGACATATAAATTGAAGGTAATCCAGTATATGGTTTATTAAAAAGTATATTAATGATGAAGATGATGAAGATGATGATGATGATGATGATGATGATGATGATGATGATGATGATGATGATGATGATGATGATGATGATGATGATGATGATGATGATGATGATGATGATGATGATGATGATGATGATGATGATGATGATGATGATGATGATGATGATGATGATGATGATGATGATGATGATGATGATGATGATGATGATGATGATGATGATGATGATGATGATGATGATGATGATGATGATGATGATGATGATGATGATGATGATGATGATGATGATGATGATGATGATGATGATGATGATGATGATGATGATGATGATGATGATGATGATGATGATGATGATGATGATGATGATGATGATGATGATGATGATGATGATGATGATGATGATGATGATGATGATGATGATGATGATGATGATGATGATGATGATGATGATGATGATGATGATGATGATGATGATGATGATGATGATGATGATGATGATGATGATGATGATGATGATGATGATGATGATGATGATGATGATGATGATTGTAAACATATTTCATTCTTTAAGTTGAAGTTTTCTATGAAAGTGTTTGAACAAAAGGAATAGCCATCTTTCAATCGTTTCTCTCTATTGAATTTTTAGAAGTACGTTCCAGTTGTTACGTCCCTTTTTTTATTTGTCATCGGTACATCTTTTTAAATAGAACTGTTTACAAATGTATTCGACGATACAAATGATAGGAGAAAAATTATAGCTGCTCAAAGTTTATTCATTGAATAAGATATTAGGGTTATTAAACGAAGATAAACAATGTTGTCACAGTGCAAAGCATGCTTATGGCACTACCAAGCTTTTGTATTCATGATTGAATTTCTTCGGAAATAGCTTAAGTGCTTGTCTATCTAGATTGAATAATGAACACTTTGAGGAGTGTGAAAGATATCAACTCTCATTTTATGTTTCAACCAAGGGTTAAATATAGGTGACTGGGTCATATTTGGAGTTAGCATACCATAAAACTGTTTACAATCAGCATCTTACTAACTTTCTGATTCACGAGCCAAAATGTTATAATACTAACGTTTGTTTACTGATTTTATAGACGAAATAATTCAAGATGTAGTGAAATATTAACGCTAAGTTAACAATTATTGAAATAAACAAGTACTTCGAAGTGAATCATATTTTGGTGATCATGTCGATAAGCTTAGAGTGTTTCATAATTGGTCACTTGGCGGGAATAGTGAAGGTTCCTTTTATTCTTCTGACGTTGACCTAGGAACTGAAAGGTCTCGATATTTTTGTATGTTGTTTTGAGTAGTTCCTTGAGTATTTCCTCGTTACCTCTGTGTATATTGAGCGTCATCGCAGAAAATAAGTTATCTCATCCAATAGAGAGCACTTTCTTTACTTCGAATTCCTAAACGAGTTGATCAATCATTTTTTTGCAAGTTATTTCATTAGAAAAACTTTATTTCTAATAGTTGTCGCAATGAATCCCAAAACAATGTCATAAATTTGGCATACAGATTTAAAAACTACTTAAAGATCATCGGCAGAATATTTGATATCCAGTGCTGGTTATCAGCGTTCAGAAGACCAGTAAATTGACGTTTCATTTAGTCATTAAGCACTTGTTACTTAGTGTAGGAGCATAAAATGTTTCAGTTATGTCTTAAAACTGTAAATGACTTCCTGAGAAACTAACGTATTTACCTTAATCAATTACTGAGTAGTGAATGACATCATGCTGCTTAGATAAAACTGCTCAGTGAACTTCATAATTCAAGTTTATATTATGACCAATATATTAAATTTTGCTGGATAGCAGCGAATTTTCGTTGGATACCTGTATGTGATTAGGATGCTGATATTACAAACTAACAGATTTCCTCTTTAGAAATAAAAGGCTTGCAATAATAGTTTTACTAAACATGTTTTTCATAGCTTTCTGTTTTAACTGAAAGGAAGATGTTACTCTTTAAAATTGGAGAACAGTGTACATTTGCTGATCACTAAAATAATAGAACTCAGAAACTTTGGCTGTATCAGTCAACGAGTTACCTTCAAACTACTTAGTGAGAATCGAATGATGTACATTTTCTTTTTTTTTTCAAATCACAATACTGATATCTAACGTGATTGACGATTTTCAAATAAATCGAATGTGATTAAACTCCACCAGTCGTCACATCTCACTAGAAGTTGAACTTGTTCACTTTTTATTGATATTGTATGGATGTTTATGTTGTGGGAAACAAATACACATTTAAGTATATTAATTGTTTGAATCTTCACATTGTTGTTTAGGTTTTCAGTTAGCCAGTCTCTTTTTGGTATATTTGCATACTGTGTGTATCGCATCAATGTTGTCTTAAGTCACAAGAATTATAAGCAAGGATGGATTCTGTCTAACATTGGAATCCAGGATGCACGTTACATTCATTTTTAAACTCGTCAGCTGAATTTTCTTGCAATCCATAGTTGATGTTCAAGAGAATACACAAGTCAGTGTGTATCTGGCTCAGTAGCTTAGTGGATATCGCAACGTCGTTTGAATTGAACAGTATTGTGTTCGAGTCTGCCATTGAACATCAACCCTGAGATTCAGGTACATCCAACTGACGAGCCACGAACAGGACAAAACGTGTATCCTGGATTCCACAGATGGCCATTATTCATCTCTACTCAGCATATACATATATTCTGTAAGTCTCAGTGTGCTAAATGAATGTATTATGTAAATAAGATGACGGCTAATAAAACGAGTTGTTTTTATCAAGTTCTGTAACTTCTAGTGTCTTAAAGTAGCCAAAAAATTGTGGCTCAAATGATTAGGGTGTGACTAGGTCAAAAAGACAATAATAACAATAATAATAATATGACAGAAAAAACAAATCAAGATAATATTTTCCGAAAAACTATGTATATTTCTAGATTAGGGCTGTTGCAATTCTCAATGGGGTGAATAGTTATTGTACAATCATCTACTACTTTTATAAACAAAATGAAAATCAAATAAATTTTCATAAATAAACTTATTTCTGATATTTCAAGTAACTTAGGCACAATAATCATATTGAAGAATGGCTCTATTTTAAGACAAAACCAGTTCTCAACATTATCAGAAGGGGTTTTTTGTGGATATTAAAGTATTTTCAATAGTTAAGATAATAAGTCAATTGAAGCTAGACCACCATGGAAAACATTGAAACACTGCATGACCATTTCATATTAGTGCGCGACTCTTCAGCAGTGTGCATCCATGATCCCACCTCATGACATTCGAACCCAGGACATATCAATCTTGCACCTGAATGCCTAACCTACAGACCACTGAGCCGGTTGGCATCCAACAGTGTTAATATCTAAATTCAATTAATCCATGTCTTCAATGAGTTATTATCTCACAACAGATCTGTTTGAACTCCACTTATCACTGCTTCTCACTAAAACTTCAGGATACACCTTTTGAAGCCAGTCGTTAGTGAGCATATATTGATTAATGTCAGGAGTTTTATGTAGATATTATAGTACATTATGACGGTAATACTTCCTTGAATCATGTTTCTACATTCAAGAATATCTACATACAAGCTAGACCAACATGAAAAAATACCTAAAAGCATTAGATAAATGAAATAACTCGTTCATATTGTAAAATAATTACTCATCAATATATTAGTATCATGTCTATCTGATGAATCTATTCTTGATTATTGAATTTAAAAGTAACCATTTGAAAAATTCAATGGATCAAATGATTTATTTTTATTTTTCATTGATAACATTCATTTCATTTTATACTTTTTTGTTGAAAAAAATAATAAAAATAAATAAAATTATTAATTAAAATATTAATTAATTTATTTCATTAATGAAGAAAATGAAAATTGTCAAATGAAAAATCCTCATAAACTTGCATGTTCTTTAAAATAAGTTTCAATATAATTTAGATTTAGATTTAAAACAAAAAAAGCAATCAACAAAACGATTACATAATATGAACTAATGGAAGATATTTTCTTGGATTAGTTGAAGTTGAACATTAACATCGTTGAATGCCAGCCAGCTCAGTGGTTTAGTGGGTTAAGCGTGCTTGTGCGAAATCGATACGTTTTGTGTTCGAATCTCGCGAGGTGGGATCATAGATATGCACTGCTGAGGAGTTCTATAATTGGGATGAAACAGCCATACAATGCTTCCTTTTTTTCCATAGTGGTCTAGCTTCAAGTGATTTATGATCTCAACTATTGAAACTACTAAAATGTCCACAAAACCCCTTCTAATAGTAATCAACATATGCTCACTAGTGACTGGCTTCAAAAGGTATATCATGGACTTCCAATGAGAAGCAGTGACAAGTGGAGTTCGACCAGATCTGTTGTGAGATAATAACTCATTGAAGACAATGAGTGGTCTGTAGGTTAAGCATTCGCGTGTAAGACTGAAATGTCCTGGGTTCGAATCTCGTGAGGTGGGATCATGGATGCACACTGCTGAAGAGTCGCACACTAAAACGAAATGGTCATGCAGTGATTTAATGTTTTCCATGGTAGTCTAGCTTCAGTTGACTAATGATCTCAATTATTGGAAGGTAATTTATGTGTTATTATGACTGAAAATCTTACCTTAAACTTAAGCCTATTTTAATTACTGTTATAAGGAGCCTCCTTGTTACTTCGATGTTTAATGTATAGATATGTAATTCGGTCATAGAATGTAGAAAAACTACGTTTCTGATGCTTAGTAGATATTTATCAGTTACTTTATCAAAAAGAAAATGTACACGTACTTTTTAACGTCAATCACCTACAATGCATCGGTTCAAGTTGCCAAACCTCATTAGCACAACAAGATCAACACTAAATTCATAGAAGTATTCACTTCAGTAGTAATGTATAAAAGAAAAATTGTGTATGAGGAAATAACACAGGAAAAGTAACTACTCCGTAGAAATTAGGGTTTAAAGTAATTTCACAATTAAACGGAAGACAAAGAGTGTATACATCTGCACCACAGTGATCGGTTCTGAGCCATGTCACCAAGAGTCTCCAACCAGGTAGACTACATCTACTAACATAGCTCAGACTAGAAGTTAGGGTGCCACGTTTTGATTTAGTCGCCCCTAACTTTCTTCCAATCATCCCGAACACTAGTCAGAATTGCGCGTTGTGGTAATCGATGTTCAGGCATAAGTAACGTGTCCCAATCGTCTCAGTCGATGAAGATTTCTAATCTCACCAACTGAGTTACCATCATTCCCTAATACCCTGTGTTTAACCTCACTATTACTTACCCGATGATCTCAACAGATGCGAGAAATATTTCTGTCATCAAATACCATTAGCTTACGAGTACTTTCTCTTCTTAGTGGCCACGTTTCGCGGCCGTAAAGCAGAACAGAACGAACCGCCGCTTAGTATACTCGTCCCTTAATTGTAAGACGGATATCTCGCCTTTTCCATAGATGACATAGGTTGTCAAACGAGCCAAACGAGCTTTTTGAATCCGTCAAGGCAGCGGTGACAGTCAGACTACTTCTTGCAGAATAAGTACCATCATCTAAAATCATAT